TGAATAATAAATCTCCAGCACATATCAGAGTGATGTGATACACAGTAAGCCCTCCTGATACATTATTTACATTAAGGAACCATTCTGCTATAGTTGTAGTCAGGGGAAAGAAATGATAATGATAAAGATAATGAAGAATGATAGAAGCAAAGGAAAGAACCAACTTGAGACTTTTTGACAAATTGGAGACAATTTGAGACTTTACCTACAGATAAAACTGGCAGGAGTTAGTGATGGTCTGAATGGGGAGATGTAGAAAAAGTGCAGAATTACTCCAAGATATCTGAATTAGATGACTGGACAACCATGCATTTAAAATGGAAAATAAATGAGAAAGTAAGATTTCAAAGGTAATGATGATTAAGTGTGTTTTGGACATGATGAGTTTGGGGTAATTTTAAACATCTATGTCTAGCAGGCAGATGGCTAGATAGGTATGTTGCTCTCACAAGCTTTGAACCTGATGAAGAATCATTACTACAGGGTAATAGAATGAAAATATAAGCATGGAAAAAAGCACTTGGGGAAGTATTACACAGAGAGAGGAGTGGGCTGAGGATTGCTGAAGAACTCTGAAGAAAATCAACATTTACGGATGAAGAGGAGGGAGAAGGGCTCTTTAAAATTCAGACAAAGAATAATATTTTAAAAAAGCAAATTTTAAGAATTTGGGGTCCAAGAAGTCAAGAGCATAGCTTTGAGGGGCAGACAACTGACCACCTTAAAAGTACATGGAGTTTTAGTTAGGGAAGTACTGTATAAGTGCACTGGATTTAGCAATACTTTAAGTTGGCAGTGCAGGTAGAAGCCAGACTACCATTCATTAAAGAACGACTGGCCGGGCATGGTGGCTCACGCCTGTAATCCCAACACTTTGGGAGGCCAAGGTAGGCAGATCACAAGGTCAGGAGTTCGAGACCAGCCTGACCAACATGGTAAAACCCTATCTCTACTAAAAATACAAAAATTAGCTGGGCATGGTGCAGGCTACAGTAGCCTATAATCTCAGCTACTCAGGAGGCTCAGGCAGGAGAGTTGCTTGAACCTGGGAGGCAGAGACTGCAATGAGCCGAGATCACGTCATTGCATTCCAACCTGGGCAACAGAAAGACACCTTCTCAAAAAAAAAAAAAAAAAAAAAAAAAGAATGACTGAGTGGATGATGACTAAATTACTTCATATTACATAGCTCATCTACACTCGTCCAAGATAACAAAAACAAAGTGGAAAGATGAGAGTCAAATGCAGCAGTGCTCTAGGCAATGTAACACTGATGGAGTAGCATCCACTGTGAAGTCAGCAGAGATTTGCTGGGCTTGCAAATAGACATGGTTATAATTCCCAAAAGAATTTTCTACAACCAGCTCTGTGAAACAAAGTTTGCTATTGGATGTCCGATTAAATGAAACAAAGATTCCCTATAGGCAACCTTAGGGGCATGTAACATTTGCTCTCAATCATAAGAATTGATAGTGAAAATGCACTCGACATGGAGCATGACATGTCATAATACACCATTCAGCTATTTGGAAAACATTAAATACATAATCAGTGTCCAGGTGGAAGTGTGCAAAACAGGAAGTATATGGACAAGAAGTCTGTTGGTAGCTCTGTGGCTCCAGCAGTAATTTGTCCACTATCAGCTCAATACATTCATAATTCACTAAAAGGGAACACTTAAAGTCAATTAAAGGCAGCATATCAAAGGCTTAGATCAGATCAGTTAATACATGCATCTGTCTTTTCTGTCGGTAAAATTGCTCACTTTAATAATATAATTTAATAAGATTTCAGATTTAGTATCTCTTTTCACTTAGTTTTAAAAAATATTTGCAATAATACATATTTTCAAATATGCAATACTATGTATAGAAATTTAATATTACAATTTCATGACATTTTTTGTCCAGTAATTAGGAATATATATTTGAGAAATAAAGAACTGCTGACTCATTTATCCATTCAAAAGTTCATTATTCATTATTCACCATGTGCCATAATACTTTCTGCAGAAGTGCATGATGGGTTGTGGAGATAAAAAGATGAAAATGACATGTCCCCTATTATTTTCTGATCTGTCAGGAAAACAATGCAAAAAAAATTATAAAAAGTTAAAATGGCACAAATAATTGTGAGAAATCAAAGGAAGGCTTCTAGAGGGGACAGAGGAACATAAAAAAATTTAAAGATTAACATTTAAATACTAGGTATTAAAAAGGACTGGGTGGGCTGCTGGAATTTTGCTTTTGAAAGTCACACTGCAGTGGACTTTTGTGAGTTGTGCTCCCAGCATTAATTCAGGGGTCATTTTCAGCAACAGGTTTGGGTTGGTTGCCCACAGGCAGATCCAGGGATAGGCCCTGAATGGCTTAAGTATAACCTATACTGAAAGACTGGTTCTAAAATGGGCACATGATAAAGATATGGCTGACAGGACTTTCAGAAGGGAAAAAAGGCTTCTCTTATCCTGGAGCTTCATGACTTTTTTTTTTTTAATTTGGACAAGGACCAGAGAGGATGAAACCATGGGAGCTGTCTGCAGCTGTATTTCCTCAATGAGAAAAATGCCTGCCTGAAAAGAGAATTAGCATTGAAGAGGCTAAGGAGAAAAATGAAAACCAAGCCCTGGTGACTCCTGAATCAAGTCATGCTTCATGGTTATATGAGCAAACACATTCCTTTTATTATAACCAGATTGAGTTGTGTAATCTATATTATGCAACCTACAGAGTCCTAACATACCCATTTAAAAATTAGTATCAATGAAATATAAGGGAATGCATTTCTCTCATCTCCCCACCTCTGACATAACAAGCATGTTCAATATTAACACAAATATCCCAAATGATATAATAAATGTTATAAAACATATCAAATATTACATATTACACACAGAGTTGTGGCACAAAAATGACTCTTTCTAGAGCAAATCTAAATATAAATGCTTTGCAAATAAAATTCAAACTGTATGTACTACTCTAAGGTGGGAATTAGTGCCTCCACTTTCATATAGTTTTGTCTACTTTGAGCACAGAGAATCTGAGAAATGAACACATGATACAATAAGCTAAGGGTCAAGCCCTGAGGAGGGCTTCTAAAACAGAGACATAATGAATGAAAGTTACTTGGTGAGAAATGACACTGACTCTAAAGTATGAAGATCAAATGAAAACTGAAGGGGGCAGGTAATCTATTCAACATCTAAACGACACTGGGAATAGAAGATACAAAAAAAAAAAAAAGGTTCTGGTGAATTCTGTAATCTGCCTTACCAAATAATCTGAAACTCACTTTTACATCTCTTTAAAATTGCCGTTTTTAGGCCAGGTATGGTGGCTCACACCTGTGAACACAGCATTTTGGGAAGCTGAGGTGGGAGGATCCCTTGAACCTAGGAGTTCAAGAGCAGCCTGCGCAACACTGGGAGACCCTGTGTCTACAAATAATAAAAAATTAGACATGTGTGGTGGCTTGTCTACTTGTAGTTCCAGCTACTCGGGAGACTGAGGTAGGAGGATGACTTGAATTCAGGAGTTAGAGATTGCAGTGAGCTATGACTGCACCACTGCACTCCAGTGGGTGACAGATTAAGACTCTGTTTCAAAAAAAATTAAAATTACTGTTTTTAAATTTTGAAATAATTATAGATTCATAAGCAGTTGCAGATATGGTACTATATTTAGTTCACCCAGTTTCTCCCAGTGCTTACACTTTACATAATTATAGTACAATATGCAAACCAGGAATTTGACATTAAAACAATGTATAGCTTGACATAAAACCAGGAATCTGACATTAAACAATGTATGTATAGCTTGACATTGTTTTGACATAAAACGATGTATCACATGTAAATTTGTGTAACCATCCTGGTCAAGATACAGAATTACTCTGTTACCAACAAGGTCTCTGTTGTTCAAGCCCTTTACAGTCACTTCCACCCTCTCATCACCATTAAAAGGAGTTTCATGCAACAATATGTACTCTTCCTAGATATTTATTTTCTATTTAAATCTGCTCTAGTCTATTTCATTCCTGTAAAATGCTGTCCCTACCCTTTGAATCTACGTCATGGCATATTAGTGGATCCTGATCCTCAATTTTAAAGACAATGCAATAAATCTATTTCAGGTTTTCCTTGGTAGGAGGACCTGACTTACGGTGAATGTGAGAAATATCACAGTTCTTCATTTTTGGTGATCTCGAGTTTGGTCCCACTCTTCCACAGCTTTCCCTAGAATCCCTCCTTCGCTTTCCAGATTTTAAACTCTCCTCAGATTACTGACCAGTCTCCAAATGCTAATTTTTTATTCCAACACTAAGAAAGTCGATTTGCAAAATAGAATTCCAACTTATTAACTCACTGAGATTTGTACTGAACCAAGAGGGTTGTTTCGATCAGCTCCTACTAAGATTTAAGACAATGAAAATCTAACTACAGGGTTGCATGGTAACACAGAAACCAAAAAACGTCTAGTGATGGCCTATAGTGGCTTAGCATCTTTCTCCTGCACAACGGAAGAATCTACTTTTGTTCTCAAAGATCAATTCCTGGCCTCAGTTCTTCAATATTGAGGGGCACTAACAAAATCGGTACCCTCCTTTATTTGAAGCTCAGACTGGGCGCAGGAAGAGGAAGTGGTGTTAATTTAATCCTACCACCTGAGATTACCTCCTGGGCTTGCGATAATTTTCTTAAATTCAATTCTGTGACAGCACCAAGATAACTTTCATCCATCAGAAAGGAAATATCGTTTCAGTTTGGATTTTGTAAATATTCAGCAACACGAACACAACACCTTTTCTTACTCAGTGTGCCCTTATTCTAGGATGGGCCAAAGAAGCCATGAAGGCTCCGCTTCCACCTTTATTTCTATATTACCTGGAAACACCCAGCTTTTTCTGGATAGGCCCAAGGCGGTTATTAACAAACCTCGGGTCTTTTGATCACTTCCTGGGATCTTAACAGTTGTGCAGATTATACTGAATGATACCAAGTCCAGTTTGACATGAGAAAAAATGTCCACCTTTCAGCCCTTGGGGGTGGATTAAAAAAAAAAAAAAGGTTAGAATTAGAATTTAAGTCCAAAGATGGGAAACAGCAGGCTCTTCCCCGTCCCGGCAGCTCTTTAGAACCTCGTTATCCGCCTTGAAAGCCCGTTTTATTTCCGCAGCGGGCCCGGTGGCGAAGGCAGAAGGCCCAGTCCGTGGGCCTCCACCAGCTGTCCCAGCAGCGCGACCCGACCCCACGCAGCGGCGGCCACGCGCGGCCCGAGACCGGCTCGCGGCGCCCAGGCCCGCGTCGGTCGCCCCTCCGGGCCCCAGCGCCGAGTGCTCCGCCTCCCAAGGCCCGCGGCCGCCATGGCGGGCAGGCAGCTCAGGGCGCTGGCGGGTCCCGCGCTCCGGGGGCGACCTCCCGCCGCCCCGCCGCCAGCACCTCTCTGGGTCCCCGCTGGGTTCCGACAGCAGCTCAGCTTAACCCTCTGCTCTGCTAACGAGGGAAACGGCGGCGGCTCCGCGCCCGACGCGCCGGGTAGGCCGGACGCCGCGGCGAGGCCTTCGGGGAGCGAAGAGTTAACCACGGCGGAGCGGCGAATCGTAGAGCTGCACGCGGCCGCCTGCGCGGTGAGCCCCCTCCTGCCCGCCGAGCCCCCTCCTGCCCGCGCGCCCCGCTGCGCCTGCGCATCCCGGGCCTCTCCGGACCCGCAGGCCGCGCGGCTGAACGAGAGGTTGCTGGACGCCCCCGCGGTCCTACCTCAGCCTCCGACACGCGCGCGCGCACGCACGCACGCACGCGCGCTTCCACTCCCGACCTTTTCGCGGGAAAACTGGCCACAGTTCGCGTTCCAGACCGAGGGTTTGTTTGCCTTGTCTCTGGAGTGCGAGTGGTGTGTTTTCCGGTCGGCGTCCGAGCTGCACTGCGGTCGCAGTGTGGGACCCACCGCCACTCTTTTGTGGGGTGTGTGTGTTGCGGAGGGGCGGTTAAGGAGCCGGTGAGAAGGTGGAGAGACTGGCAAGTCCCAAGTGTGCTGTGTTGTCTTCTGCATTGCCAGTTGAACACCTAGCCATCCAGTGATTTTTGTGATTAAAAAATAACACACTGACACATTCATTTTAATTTTTCCATCGCCTTCTCGTCGTTTCTCTTAACGGAGCAGAGGAAACTACAGTTTGCTGTTTGCATTCTTCCTACACACTCGGGCTGTTTTCTCCTGTTTGGCGGATTTGACAGTGGCTTGTTAGTAGCAGTATCTAAACTTATCTCCCTTTATGCCTTCTAACACGGTCTGCGTGAGTTTAAAGGCAGCATTTTACGTTATTACCTTTACAAAAGAAACAGTGAGAAAAAGAGAAACTGACTTCATAAAGATCGAAAAGCAGTGTGAAATGAACCTGTTTAATAAGCTGTGTGTGCGTCCAGCACTTGATGGGACTAGTATGGTGTAGTATGACTTGAGCCAAAGGGGTAGAGAAGAAAATCTCGGAGATTGCCTAAAATTCACTTATTTAAATAATGACATTTAGTAGGCCCTGAGAATCCACTGTCGGTCTGACCCCTTCAAGTGTTGAAACTAAATGAAGACTCCTCAGGAAGCGACTGGCAGCTTTTGATTGTTCTTGTTTATGCTCCCCTTTTAAAAATAACGTATGTGATTTGTTCTCACACTTCACCACGTAGATATGGTGGATATTAAAGACAAGTTTTATTCTCTTTAGAGCAAACACCAGTGGCATGTAAAGAAACTTTCAATCAGCCCAGGGAAGGAAAGGAAGTTTTTCTCACTAGGAAAATCTACACTTCTTTCATCAGTGTCAGTATCACAGGTTAAATGACTATCCAGGAGACTATAAATTAAGTCCAATAAATAACAAGCTGTTGCTCTTTTTTGGCACATCAGAGCCTCCTCACAATGGTCCTTCTTCCAGCCTCAAGGCAGATAGCTCTCTTACGTTTCTCCTGGTACCAATGCGCATCACTGAACATCCTGCTCTCCAGTCTAACTGTCAGCACCCTTGCCTCATCTTTGCCTGTGGCCACCGTTACGCGAGGCTCATTCACTGAGGACAAATTAAGTTTGTGCGGGCGGCCAGCAAGCTCAGAGGTGCTCAATCAACGCGGAAAGCTGTAGACCAGGCGCATGCGCAGGAGCAATCCGTTTGGCTTCCAGGTTGCCAGATAATTGCCCTCAGAAGACTCGCAGAAGCTATGAAAAGTAAAAAGAAGCTTGCTACGGAGTTCCTAGCGTTTCTTTGTTTTTCTTTCAAGTCTCCAAACACGAGCTTTGTAAATAAATAAAGAAGTGAGGTCCTGACAATCGGCCATTCTAAGGTAGTGCTGAGTGTTCCCGATTTCATGCAATCTGCTTCTGTGGTCCTCCTGGATTTGGGAAGTCGCTCTCAGACCAGCCTTGGGACTTGCTTGGATTTTTGTTGCCCTGCCCTGCTCTAGGTTTGCTGGAATACCTTAGAGTAAGACTAGACTGCGACTGCACCTGCCCTTTTGCTACACACTTTATTCATGAAACATATTGGGTTAAAACCTCAACCAGAATAAGATATCAGCCAGTAAGTTAGACACTGAAGAAGTTGTTGGTGGTTCATACAAAAATGTGTTTGTCAGAAGACATGCCAGTTTCATGTGTATTTTAAAGAAAAGGGCTCTGTACAAGATTGATGCATTGAGTTACTGCATGGTAAAAGGGTTATGTAAAAAGTCCGTGGGAAAGTTCCTCTACAAAAACCCAAGGCTAAGTAATATCACCCAAATGACCCAAATCCACAGAAAATGTTATTTACTTTTCCCTTCCCACAAAATACTTGAGCACCTTTTTAAGTCATGTTTGAATGTAGATAGAATATGCTTCCTTGACATTTGAAATAGTACAATAAGTTTCTTTGGATCAAACTTGTGAAAGTAGTGAGTGTTAATATGTTAAAACAATACTTTTTTTCAGTTAAAAACACAACTAATAACACAAGGAAAAAATAGTATAAAATGTGCAATGGAGTAACACATGAAGGTAAAGAAAGTGTTCAATAATAGCAAAGGTAATACTTTTCTATAAGGACTGTTGGTTTTGATTAGCACCTTTTCTGTAAGTTTAAATCATTATCCACATATTTTAAGTACTGAAATTCCAACTGCAACTTCTGAGTGAAAGTTCATTTTCAGCCTCTTAAGCTCTTAAAATCATTTAAATCACCTGTTATTAAGCTTGTTACCTAGAAACCAAATGAAAAATATCAGAGCAGTGGCTACATAGTTATTAGGTACAGAGGAGTTCTTGTTTTTCCATCAACTTCTCATTTTTCTCAAACTGTATATTTTCTCCTTATGTCACATAAAGTTGGATTGTGTATAATGCTGGAGTGCATTTGGTCTTTAATTACAAGTGCCACTAAAACTGCTGGGAAGAAGTTTAATATTGTTTTAAATTTTTCTGCAGTATTTTATGAGTAGACATTATGGTGAGGAGATATGATGAATATTGAGATTAATGAATTGTTTCATTTTATTGCACTTCAGGCTGGCCAGCTAAACTATGTGGATCCAGCTACTGGCTATTTGGTGCTTACACAGATTGCCCACTTGCAAAGAGGTGAATGTTGTGGCTCTGCTTGCAGACATGTGAGTAGCAATTCTCGCATTACAGCAGCAGTTTGCGGTGCTTCTGTAACTTCGTAAATACTTATTATTTGAACAACAAGTCCAATAAAAAAGCCAAATAGAACTGGCGTGCACTTTTCACAAGCTACTTTAGCCAACGACAATGAAGCCCTTAGTACCCAATGTAGGATCTTTAAAGTTAATGGAATTTTGCTGTGTTTCACTGTGAGCATCAGTTCCTTGAAATGCTGTGATTTGAAATTCATGGGAGCTCTTTAATACAATAAAACTTTTCATGTGGTTTCAAATAAGTTGTTTCCATTAGGCAAGTACAAAGAGGGCAGGAAAAGAAATCTAGAATGTTGCAAACTATATCCCTCTTCTTTATTAGTTGAATAAATAGAAACTCACCCAGCATTGAGAGGTAGGTTTCCTTCAGGTAATGATTTTTTTTCCTTCTTTCCCCTCTTCCCTCCTTCCTTTCCTCTCTTCTTTCCTTCTCTCTCTCTCTCTCTCTGGTTCTCTCTGTGGCTCTTTTCCAGTTTGTGTTTGAAATAACTGTGAAACTCGATCATCCCACATGTAGTGCCTGTGCATTTCCTAAAATGTTTATTTCAATGGATACCTCTCTATTTCACTAATGAAGATAAACTAATTTCTCTTTCCCTATTATGAGCAAAGAATAAGTGGGAATTGGTTCTTCACTATTAGTTCTTAAAGGCATAGTACTGAGGTAAATTGTTATAGGATCAAGATTATAAATAGATAATAACCTCTGTTTACAGAACACGTTGTGTATTTTGGTGCAAGAAGGTGTAATTTGCTATAACTGGCTCACTCTATAATTAAAGAATAGACACTAAATGCATATATTAGCTGTAGCCAGGATTAAACCTTAAACCTTCCGTTTTATGTATGTTCCTGTGACCTTAACTGTTTCTAATCAAATGCATAAGAGTTTTTGTAAATCGAGGACTTGAAGCTTTTCTAAAAGTGGATTTTTGATAGTAAAATTCTTAAAGTTGGAAGGATGAATTTAGGAAATGTTTCCTGGACCCTAATTAGGACCATTTGCCCAAGGTTGCCAATATTCTTCTCTTAGTCTGCAGGACCTGATAGATCAAATGGCCTATATAAAATTGTTAACAGTCTCTTTCTGTCACCATAAGAAGTGTGCTTTTTCAAGATGATTATTAAATAATTTAATAATAACTTGTTTTATTTCTTCTGCAGTGTCCATATGGTCAAGTCAATGTTAAAGACCCATCTAAAAAGAAGCAGTTCAATTCATATTTTTATATTTGACAACAATTTCATCTCTGTTCTCTAACTGTACTTGTATTTTGTTAAAAAAAATAAAGCCCTGGTTCAGAATTGCTATGTTATTGGTACTTGAACACTGGTATATTCCTAATTACATTTATTAAAAGAACATCAATAGAATGAAAAAGCTAACAAATGTTTGTGTGTTTCTGAAATGCCACATTGATAGTTCTTTTCTTTTCTTTTTGCTTCATTATCAGTCACATATGTTGAAGAAAGAAAATAATGGCTGTTCCATTAAATAAATAGTAGCAACCCGGTCACATTAGTAGCTCTTGGTTTTTCTTAGCCTCAGTTCTCCTACTGTTTTCTCATCAGTGTTAGCAATCCAAGGGAGGTTGCTGGCAAATAGAAGAGCTTTAGTACATTCTTCATTTTATTTATATCTTGAGCTATACGGAGATTGATATAATATATTGTGCAGCATATGAGTGCTCAAGAAGTGCCATCCTGCATCAAGAAATACTTTCATCTTCCATCTGTTCTTTCAATAAAAGCTTTAAATCATTTTGACTTGAGGGTCAGGCCGCTGAAGATGTGTCACTTAGATCATTTTTCCTTCCCCCCACCCCACCCTTTCCTCTTGTATTTCTTTTGGCACTTCCTAGGAAAATCTATCTTTGAACATTTTATTAGCCATACACTTATTTCATTCACTGCGGTGATGCCCCTGGGCATCAGTCTCTAACCTGAGCCAGGAGCTTCTTTCTACACCACCTCTGCTTCCTATGAGGATAGCAGCCCCAGGAAGCCCTTTCCAGTTGCAGCTGCTCAGAAAAAAGAGGCTGCTACCCACTTGGAAGACTGGCTTTGCTCAGAGCTGACTCCCAGCCTTCCCTCAATGGGATCTGAAAGGTCCTTGGACATCTCAGAGGTCTGCCTCAGGTTCTGCCTGTGGCCCAAATAAGAGTTTTAGGAATCTTAAGCAAACAAAGGTTTTGGTAACTTATCCCACATTCAATTTAAAATAAAAGCCATTCTTAATGGTGAAATAAGTGAAAAGAAGCCCAGTAAGGTTCTAATTTTCCTCTTGATTATGTCTTTTTTTTTAATGTCAACTATTAAAATGTCTCCCCAAATTGTTGGTTTTTTCAGTGCCCTACTTTTGCTGGTGCTCTAACCGTGGTGCCCTAAGTAACGCTGCCCCTGAGCCCTGCGGGGTTATAGCATGATGTAAAAGAGTGGTGTCTGTGGACTGGTGCTGTCCTGTCTGGAAATTGCTTTGAGAGGAGCAGGAGAGGTGATCGGCATTGGCATTGTGATCATAGAAGCAGTTTTCCAGAAAGGCATAGGGATTCCCACGAGCTGGCTTACTTTCCATTTCTTGGTCAAGAAGCAACCAGCTAGTTCCATGTTTCTTACTCGATTTGAAGATTAACAAGGCCATTTTCTGTGTGGGGGGATAGTGTTTCTTCAGCAGCCCCTCAGAATAGAAGAGTCTACAGTGCCATCTTTCTGGAGAATAGGGGAACAAAGAAAGGAAGTTCATTTTGAAAAGGGGTCTGAGGTAAGACTGTTCTGAGAAAGCCCCTTAGCAGGTGGAAAGATGCCTCCTTCCTCCAGGCAGCTCTTTCCTCCTCCCAGTGCACTTCCTGTAGTAGGATACTGGCCAAAAAAGAAAGGGTGTTCGACACGAAGGACCCTTAGGTGGGACGTTTGTAATTCTTCTCGGCAATTCTTCCTTGCAGAACTTCAAGCCTTGAGGGTAACAAAAGCAAAGGAGCCGCTGGGGTGCTGCAGCGGAGACTGGGGAAGAAAGATGCTCATATTCTTCCCTGCTCCTGGAGCCAGAAGGAGGGCTGAGGTTGCTGTAGTTCTAGAGGGATGAATGTGAACAACACGTTAGGGGTGGCAGCGGGGCGGGTACTCCCACATACGATACAATATGGCCACATAAATGGGTCTTGCTGCAAGAGCTTTAAGCTATATTGTATTCACACATTGTAAAGTAAAATTCAGGTTTCTTATTAGGTGTGTATATACAAACACATGTGGATGCCAAGAAATAGAGACTTGCTTAGAGACTTTAGAGTTTAAACCCACTCTGGTGCTGCTCGAGTTTCAAGGTTTCTGGAGACTCCCTCTGCCCCAGAGTGTAATAAATCAAGGAAAATTGAAATTGACTTTTAGATTGTTTCTTATGTGAAACGATCCAACGGAAACTGGGGATCTTGTGCCAGGGTGAGGTGTGAAGATGGATTTCTGTAGTGGTGGTTCTCGTGGCAGGTGGATCATGATGCACACTCCTCTCTCTTCAAGAAGCAGCACTGCCCCCACTGTTTATAGAGAGCAGGGAAGAGAAGGGCTTTTATTTTTTCAAGTAAAATTTAAGGCTCCCAAACAGGGTGTGTTTGAAACAGTGCCCTGAGAAGTGGAGGCGCTCTCTGGGCCTGGAGTGGGTCTTTGTTCCAGCACAGCACCCCTTCTCCAAAGGCATTGGCAAAATCTGTTGTACACACACGGTTCCACTGTCAGAAATCTGCAGATCTTAGATTTGCCTTTAGACAAGGCTGGAGAAGAGAGCTCACTACCAGACAAATGGCAATTGGCGTGTTGTCTTCCTATGAGCACTTTGAGATCACACAGCCCCTGGCTAGAGCAAAAGGAACCTCGCCCTCCACTCCTAGCTGACACCTGCCATTTCATCTTTTCTAACACTCAAGTCATGCCTTGAGTTTGTGGATTGGATGTCTATGGAGGAGAAGTGAAAAATCGGTGCTATTTTTTCACTACTCTGCAAAATTAAGAAGTAATCCTGGATGCCAAAACGATCCCCTCCTCTCATTAAAAAAGTCAGGTATTTAAGTGGGGGATGGAGGGCAGAGAAAGTCTACGTCCTTTTTACGAGCCTCTGTGAAGAGCCTGATTTCTGAGAAAAAGGTTATGGAAGAACCCGCAGCTATCTTTAGCCAGAGACTGAGCTGTCCCTGGAATGTGCAGTGTACCCTGGACCTCTGGATCCTCTGATGTGTGCTGGGGTGCCCAGGGCACTGAGTTGACCTCTGTACCCACAAACAACTTCGAGGCTGGGCTCCTGACACAAAATGCACAGATTCACATCTCTCCTTCCTGGCACTACAGGCATAAAAGAGAGTGTTAACCAAGGAATCATGAACTCTGAAGGAATTGGGAGATCCTTAACGACCACATCCTCCTAGCAGGAATTTGTATTCTAAAGCTTCAGTGCACACTTCAGTGTGCGTGCGTCTGCGTGTGTGTGTGTGTGTGTGTGTGTGTGTGTGTGTAGAATGCATGTCGTTACCAAATACCTAAAACGGTATGTGACCGCAAAGAGGTTAAATCCGGTTGGTTTGGACAGGGATGAGTTGAAAGCACCCAATCGTTTTCGGGTGGATATCGCCATCCATCCATCAGATGGCCTCGCTGATGAGCATAGAAGATGAACCCGGGAAGACTGTCCCTTTTTGGCTGCGAAACCTGACCGTATAGGGGAGATTCTAGAAGAAAGAGCTAAGGAGGCCAGAGCGAAAAGAGGAAAGTCGGGGCGGGGGATCTTAAAAGGTAAACTGCTGGGACTGACCGGCTGGTGGGACTAGTTAGCGAAGCCAAGTGTTTAGGCAGGAAGAGACATCTAGTTGGAGCTACATTCCGGGATTTGGGATGGAAAGAGAAAGCCAGGGGGCTCGGGTTCGCCGCTCCTAATCTGTTCCTTACAGATCCTAAACTGTATGGCGGAGCTTGTCGGGCAGGTGTGGAGGCGGCGTCCACCCCCATGTGCCCCACGTGCAACCCCAATCCCACGCAGTTTTCTCAAGCGGCTGGGAGGCAAGCGGTTGTCCCCCACCCCCGCCCACCGCTCCCTGGACCCACGCCACGCATCGCCAAGGAGTAGCTATGGTGGCACGTGGAGGAGGGGCGGGTAGGGAGGGCGGCACCATCACCCGGACCAGCATCTTGGAGCAGCCAATCTCACTGCTCATACTCTCCTCCCCACCGGCACCGGAGCCTTGCTGTAATCCCCCGCCTCCCCATCTCCGTTAGTGAAGGGCGCACCGGGTGGGGGAATGGGTAAATAATTGGCCCGAAGCCCAGCTTCCCTGCTCTTTCCACCACTTTCCCGCGGCCTGATTACGCCCGGGGCAACGCAGCCCCTCGGGAACCTGAGACCAGGTAAAGTGGCCTCCGCCCCGTCCCAGGTCTGGCTGCTTCCCCTCGAACCCTTGCCTGCCAGGGTCCAAGTGCGGGTTTTCTCCCTGAAGCTTAATCACCACCCCCATCCCCTGGCCGGGGCCTGGGAGGAAGAGATGCCCAGGCTCTCTTGTTGACCCGGTCGAGAACGCCGGCCTCGAGTGCAGAATACTCCCCAGAGTGCTGGGTTCCTGACACCCAGCCCGGGAGCGCGGAGAGTGAGGGAGGGACCAGGAGGGGAAGGCGGCGGCGCGGTGGGTGAACAATCAATGGCTTAGCCTAGTTTCCCTGCAGGGGCTACCGCCCATTCACCGTCTATGCAGGCACCAGCTGGCAGCAGCATCTTTTAGGTACATACTGCAGGGAGGCAAAGGCTGGCTGGGGGGCCTGGAGCCCAGGGCGCTCCGCGGGACTCCAGCCCCCCCGCTGCGCCCCAGCCGCTGGACGCTCTGGGCTTTACGAGGTTCAGTTACCGCAGAGTCCTCCATTAACACCTCCTCTGATTATTGAGAGTCTGGAAGGGCTGAACGCAGCCTCAGAGCGTTTCTCTGGGCACCGGCCGGCGTCTGTGCCCTCTGCCCACCCTTTCCTCCTCCCCCTCCCGATCTGGAAGCATAAACAGAAAATAAAAGACAGGTGGAGAGAGCTGAGGGTCAGAGGTGAGGGAATCAGATCAATTCCAACGGGGTGTCTGGGAGAGAGGAGGGAGAAATTAATTTTCATCCAACGCTTTATTTATTTATTTGGATTAACAGAGGGACACTCAGTGAGACACGGGGACTGACCCGCACCTCTGGCAGCCGCCTCCCGCCTTTCCTCGCGGAGAACCGAGTTCTTGTGGGGGAAACGTCTGACATCGGACCTCAAGGTAAGACCCTGATGAAGATGTTTTAGTCCGAGCAGCTTTCTGCCCTCAGAGCGCGCCCGGACCGCCGGGAGTTCCAGGGACGTCTTGGGAGCCTACCCCAAGAAGGGCCGGCTTTGCTCCAAGCCGAGTCCCTACCTGAGGTCTCCGCGGGAGGAGCGGTTTGGACGCGCCACACAGGCTGGGAGGTGCTTGGGGAAGCCTGGCCGTACCGCCGGGCTGACGCGCGGCTTTTCTCTGCCAGTGCAACCACCATTACGGCGTGATCCACTCCTTTTCCTCTAAGAATGCTGAACGGTACCACTCTAGAGGCAGGTGAGTTACGCGCCAGGTTCCTTCTGATGTTCTCTGCCCCTTGGGCCACTGCGTTTATCATGTGAGTGTGTGTGCGTGTGCGCGCGCCTTCGTTGGGTGGAAGGAAAAGGAGTGTGTGTTTGTCCTAAAAATTAAGCCGCGCTTCGTAGGCTTAAAAATACACATTATCTTTCAGAGTCTCCTGATAGGGTTCCTCAAACCTTCGTCTCACTCATTTTGCCTTTCTCTTTGACTGCCTTTGACTTTCCTCAGGATCAGGGTCGGGGCGCCAGGCTGAGGTGCTGGTTCCACGGATCCTCCAGTAGTCAGTGGCGCAAGGGACATGTCTTTTTCTTGGAAGGAATGGAACAGGGGGGCGAAAAGACACCGTTTCTCGCCCGTGTAGGGCTTAACTGGGAACTGGCTTCACCCACATTTTGTTGTTGTTCAGTCCTAACCCAGCGCAGCCGTTTCTGCGCCTGATCTCAGCGGACACCGTGCGGGACTTCTCCCTTTATTTCTGGGGAGAGGAGGGCAGGCGGCGCAACACTTCTCAGGTAAAGGGCATCAGATTTCAGAAGCGTGGTATTCTAGACTTGGCGGCTGCCCCTTTGGAGAAGAACCCGGGGGCTACAGAGGACAGAGGTTTGAAGGAAGCAAAAGCTGGCGAAACGCTTTTTAGTCGCAAAGGGTGAGGGTAGGCAGAGAAACCCGCTAAAGAGCAGGGCCTTGCCTGGGGAGTGGCACCCAGCGAGAGGCTGGCAAGGGTGCGCAGCTGGAGCGTGGCTTTGGGTCTCCTCCCCGCTCCCCGCCCCGTCCCAGCTTTGCTTGGCTCACTCCCATTTGTTTTGAGGGATACTCCCTGGAGTAGGACTGGATCAGAAGTACACCCGTGTAGCAGCCCCGGTATGAACCTGCCAACCTCAGTGTAGTGGGAAGTTTTGCACATAGAGAATCGCGGTCTCCACTGTCAAGAGAGAGGCCCCAGCGCGGCCCGGCCATCAGCTCACCTTCCATCCAGCGCTGCCCGGGCATCCAGGGCCAGGAGGCAGGGCGCTGAACGCATGGTTCCCAGCCTCAGGATGACACTGGCGTTTTACTGGGCCTTGGGATGCTCGGGACAGTGCCAGAAGCTGGATACTGTTTTAAGAGCTGCACCTTTCAGACCAAAAGGGCTCCGCAACCAGCTTAACCGGGTCTGGAGGAAAGGTAATGCCTGCTTCTTTACAGGGCAAACTACAGGCACAGAATTATGGCCTCCAAAATTCAGGAAGAAAAAGACCTTAAGTCGCCTTTGCTCTCAAAAGATGCACATTTGTTGGGTCACTTCCTCTCTCTCAACCCTAACTGTCCCGTGGGTTTACCTTCCCTTTCCTCCCCGCTGGGGAGTTCTACTGGGCTCGGGTTATTTGCCCATGTGGACCTGCTTGCGCCCGAGTCAAGGGCGCTGCGGTCTTCTTGACCTTCATAGAGTTTCTAGGATCCCCAACTCCCAGTTCCAACTACTATGCTCCGCTAGAGTCCCGCTGTCCACTTTCCTAAAAGCCGCAACAGTAGCGGGATGGATGATGTCGGAATAGAAAGGAAAGAAAGCTTAGTGGACTGCCTGTGCTCGGTTGTGAGGGAAAGCAGTGCTGGCGGACGGGCCTGCCCCATTATTCCTGGTAGAGCTTTGAATTCAGAGGAGACTTGAGATCCTATCCCCAAGGCAGGCTCGAGAGAGCCACATGCACCTGTCCCATCGAGTGAGCCAGCGGCTCAGCCCCAGGAACTGAAAAAGTGAACTCCCAAATTTTTATAGAACACTTGCGGGCCATTACGCCTAGAATTGGGAGAAGGAGGAACACGTTTGTTTTGTCCCCAGCCGCCAGCCTCAGCCCCTTTGCTGGAGAGGTGAAAGGAGGCAGAGCTACAAAGATGCTCTCCTTATTTAAAGCGCTTATTTAAAGTCCTTTGAGAATGAGGAGTGGAGGGAGCTCTTAGGCAATCTCTCTTGGGGGCTCGAAGACAAAAAGAGTAGAACACCCTGGATCGCACACCCAATTTGAGGGCATTCCTTCCCAACCTTCATGGACTTCCTCCTTAGGAGCTATGGGAGGAGGCAGGGCTGGACCCGCCGGGACCTATTTCCGCAGAGCTAACAAGGACCTCCCAAACTCCAGCGGGCCCCTGCCCCACCCCCAGCTTTCTCCAGATTTCCTGCATTCACTGAGAAGGAAGAATCCTGGCAGTCTGCTTCTTTACGGGAAGTAGCAAATACCACTGGATACAGGAACTTATAACTTGGGTTTTATAAGAGCAGGCTTCAACTTGGAAACTGATTGCAGAAGGTGTTCTGCCTTTCCTGTACCTAGATGATTAACGAATATGTGTGGAATAGAAGAATGAATGGATGATTGGAGGGCTTACAAGACTTCCGTGTTTGGCTTCCCTGGAGACTGTTAAGTTCTGGCTTTCTCCTGGTGGTGTTTAACTTTCCCTGCATGCCGTCTCCAAAGTTTTATCTCTTGCAAGGAAGCAGTGGTATTCTTGCGTTCTTTGTTGTTGATTTTGCTGAGCAGGCCAATATGCAACAAGAACCAAACCTAATTTCAAACACCACCATTTTGGGGTTGGGATAGGGTTTAGCACAAAGTAGTTAGACAAAGCGGGTTGAGGTCCTGTATTTAATTTTTTGCTTGAAGCTTCCTTGGGTGAATTGACTGAGGGGACCTCTCAGAGACTCCTCCTCCTCCTCCTCCTCCTCCTCCTCCTCCTCCTCCTCCTCCTCCAACTCTGAGTCAGTTTAGCCTCTGACTTGTGTGAAGGCAATCTGCCCCTTTGTGAGAGGACCTGCTGTCTCTGAAAGGACTGCTGCCCCCAGCCCCTCCTCGGGGCCCTTCTTGTGTGCACGTGGGTTTGAAAAGCTCATTGATTCCCATCCAAAGGGGCTAATTACATTACTTACAGTAAATAGCAGCCCTGCTGTCAGGTATAGCTGCCAAAGTAAGGAGGAGGGGGATGTCTCCAGCTTAGTTCACTTGATTGGCTTCATTTTTGTGTGAAATTGTGCTTTATGAGCTGTATTCTGGCACCCGGAGGACGTAAACTGCGTCCAGTCTGCAAATAACATTATTTTTGACCCTGAGAAAAAAGGAGGGGAAGCAGTGGAGTCTTGAGTTTCATGGAAGAGGCCACTCCAGCAGCCTCAGAAGGCAACGCTTTGGGACAGGAAGTCAGGCTGCTGCACCAGGGGTCGTTCCCTCCCTCACTTTATTCCTGCCTTCCTTCCTTCCCCTTTTCCTCATCTTCTCCCTTCCTTTTCTCTTCCCTCCCTCCCTCTCTCCCTCTCTCCCTGGCTTCTCTCCCGTCGTCTTTCTAGCTTTGGCCACAGTTCCCTGTCGGGCTCCCCTGGGCAGAGGGAAGAGGGTGTGCGGCCCGGCGGCCCCTCTGAGGCTCCTAGGATGTGCCAGGCCACGGGCACCGCAGTCCCGGGAAAGGCGGCGGGGAGCAGTGGCGAACGCAGGCTGGCGGCGGGAAAGAACGGAGCCGGGAGCGGCCCGCGCGTCCTCCTCTCTGGGTAAAGCCGCGTCGGTTCCTGCCGCCGCGCTGCGCTTCGGACCCCTAGGGGGCCTCCGGCCGTTTGAATGAATCGACAATATCAGAGTATTGTGGACACTTTTTAATGGGGCCGGGGAGGGGCCGCCGCTACCGGGAACAGAGGGCGACAGAACAATCCCACCTCTTGTGAGGAGCAGGTCTGCCATTCTGCTTGTCAGTTCTCACCTTCCCCTCCTCCACGGCAAAGAGCCCCTTTCACACCCTTCAGAGTGTGCGGGTGCGCCCAGTTTTACAAGTCCGCTGTCCTGCCAGGGTAGTGGGAGCAGCACGCGATGGGGCTAGCGCCCAGTCCTGCGGGGGCAGGCGCCAAGCTCCCGGGAGTCCCCCAGCCGCTGCCCACATTGGCAAGTTTCAAATGAGACACCAGAATCTCCGGCAGCTTTCCTTCCAACCTGAACCAGGGAAGAGAATAAGCCGTCCTACGCCCAAGACGCAGCTGCATGCCTATGTGTACAGGTCCATGCTCTGCCCTCTACACTCTGATTTTCTCGAAGAAAATTGTTTTGCCAAAAGTAACCCTGAGAAATGGAGATGCTCCAAACGACCTTTTCACTTTGGAAGAAGCCAGCACCTAGTAGGGTCTTGGGCCCTCAAGAAGGTGAGCCAAAGGGATGAATTGCCAGACAGCTGCTTTTAAAAAGTGGGTTGAGGAAGACGGGATGGGGAGGAGAGGAACCAGCATTATTTCCGCTTTAGTAAAGTGCTTACATTTCAGCTCAGTATTTACGTATTTCGGGTGGCACTCCTGTAGGCTGGGGATGAAAAAGTCCACAAGGAGAAAACTCAAAGTGTGGAGTAGATATTGTGTGTCCCGAGCCAAGGTCTGATCTTGAACTCGGATCAAATAGGCGGGTTCTAGGCCTCCTGCACCAGGGCGGGGACAAGAAGAGCTCCTTTTTCCCTTTAAAACATGACTGCTGGGAACTCTTGGAAGGATGTGTGTGTGTGTGTGTGTGTGTGTGTGTGTGTGTGTGTGTGTGTGGAGGTAAATGCCCCCTCCTCCTGCCTCCCCGCTCTCCATCCCCCCACCCCTTTGTAATGTTTGTCCTGCTTGCCCATCACCAGGGGGTTGAGAGGAGTATGACAGGTCTTTGTTGTCTGAATAAAAATCCGTGGCAGCTCCAGGGAGAGAACTCCTCCTACTAAATTATCAAAAATGGGCTGGCTTTAGTCTCTTAACAAATTGGACACAGCTCAGGCAGGAGCAGTCCCCAACCCAACCTACAGGCACTGGGAACTTGCAAGCAGCCCGGGAACACTGAAAATAGCACTTCTTTTTCTTTCTTTGTGTTCAAAACTATTTTCTTTCTTCACCAGATTTTGTTTTCTTCCCCCCGCTGCAGTTGTTTCCCATTAGTAACTCGATCTCTCTGAGCAGTAAGATTTGCCTTCTACGCCTCTTTTTCCCTCCGCCTGTGTTTGTTTGTTTTCTGCACATCTCTCCTTCAGGGAGCTGCGGAACTTCCCCCCTCCCCCAATTTCCACTTCTTTTTGCTCCTTCCCCGGCCCCCCAAGCAGACGGATTTCCACTCGGTCTCTTTCTTCTCCTCCTCTCTCTCCCTCTTTCTCTCCGTCCCCGAGCGTCTCTGCGCTCCCACAGCGCAGCCCTCTCGGGTCCCTAGCCTCCTTCACTCGGATGAGCTGAGAGCCCCAGGCGTGTGTATATGGAAATAGTGGGGTGCCGAGCAGAAGACAACTCGTGTCCTTTCCGCCCCCCAGCCATGCTTTTCCACGGGATCTCCGGAGGCCACATCCAAGGCATCATGGAGGAGATGGAGCGCAGATCCAAGACTGAGGCCCGTCTGGCCAAAGGCGCCCAGCTCAACGGCCGCGACGCGGTAAGGAAGGGCTCCGCCGCGGCGGGAGCCCGGCACCCCTGCGCCCTCGGATAAGCTAAGCCGACTGCCTTGCTGGTGGAGGTCGGGGGCGGCGGGTCGTAGAGACATCTGCTTGAGGCTGGCGGGTGGGTTTTCTCCCGTCCACGTAGGTCTGCAGGGCTAAGAAACGGTCCCTTTTTCTGAATTGAAATGTCTGCACTAGCTGGCTATCCTCTGTCGCAGCCGATTCCGAAAGAGCAGGCTCTCCCTGAGCTGGGAGGAGGAGTGGGGCGATGGGGGCGTTCTCTTCTACAGACCTGGAGGTTCCTCGATTCCGGGGCTGGCGTCTCCCCGGCGAGGATCCGCAGCTCCGAGGGCAAGCCGGGCGCAAGCGGTAGGAGGACTGCGCGCTGCCGCGGCGTGCTAGCCAAGCAGAAGCCCAGGTGGCCTTAGCCTCTGGGCCTGATGACCGGACCTTTGGAGTAGATTCGGACGCCACTGGGTCGCTTCCAGTTCTCCAGAAGCTTGGGGCTGGCGACCCTAGCCGAGAGATTTTCATGGGTTCTGGCATCCCGACTCAGTCCCTCTATCGAGACAGCACTGCGTTTAGCGCCGGGGCCGGGCGGGTGTCATGTCTAGGGGGAAATCAAATAAAACTTACGGAGGAGCGCGCCCAGTAGAAACTCATGAACTTTATAACCCTTAAACAAGCTAATCAACTACCAATGTTTCTACTATCCATAATAATTAAGTCGTGTCCTCTTAATAAAGAAAACCAATTACTTATCTAACTGCTTCCCTTACCAGGTTACTAACGGGAGGGGGAAAACTACAGAAGTCCCCGGAAATGATTTCAGCAAAACATAGCTGTGTAGGTCCTTTGGTACCACACTAAAACTTGTAGCCGAAACTAATCAGGAGACTGCTCTAGCCTCTCAGCGGGATTTTGGGTCCGGCAAGGTAGCCCAACTGGTGAACTTGTCGAAATTTGTGACCCTCATTCAGTGCCGGCGCCCCTGGTCGGAGTAAGGGGCTAAACTTTACTTTTGCAGGCCCTCTGAAATTTCGTGGGGGACGTTCAACCCATTTCTGCTGGTCTTGAGGGAAGTGTCCGGAGGTTAACTTCTTTCCCCTTTTTCTGGTCATTACGTTTAAAAACAAATAAACCCAAACCCAAATTTTGCAGCGGCTCTGGGGTCCTCAAGGTAGGGCTTACCGTCCTCAGTCGGGTCAGTGGGGACCCAGGAGGAAAGCTTAACTTCGGCACTAAACAGATTTTCAAGACAAAGGTCTCAGTACGCCTGTTGCTGCTAGCGAAAGAGGGGACTGGACAGAGGGGACTGGACAACGGACTGTCTTTGGGAACAACCACTTTACACCCTTATCGGGAACAGGACCAATAGACCTGAAAATTAGGGAACAGCAGAGTCTGACAAATATCTCAATCAAAACAATGTCGACCAAGTTAAGAGCACAGGTCCAATAATCTCCTTTTTGCTTTTGATTTCAATGCTGCTTATAAGCATGTAGAGAAATCGAATTATAATATTGTTTGTTTAAAAATAACCTGTGCTGGTTCAGATTTCCTTTCCCTCCCCAATCATTTCGGTTGTTTTATTTTGTGTGCGTAGAAAGCCACAATTTTTAGCTTGTAATTATTTGAATTAGGAAACTATCATCAAACTATAGTCAAAATTCTCCCAGTCCTTTTTAAGCGAGGCTCCGGATGGCCGAGATGTCTTGAGGTTAATAGTCCCGGGAGGACGCGAACGCCGGTTCAGGCAGTCACGGAAGAAAGCGAGCAAGCCACAAAGGGAGAAATGACAAATGTTTTCCCCCCGACGTCTGCCTTTGTGCAGTGGCCCCTGGCCCCTGCCGCGCTCCGTGCACGCCCTGGGATCTCTCTGCCTGGGGGAGAACCCCGCGTCCTGCGGCGACACCGCGCGCCCTTCTCAGCCTTGCGGTGTGCTTGCTTTGCAGGGCATGCCCCCGCTCAGCCCCGAGAAGCCCGCTCTGTGCGCCGGCTGCGGGGGCAAGATCTCGGACAGGTACTACCTGCTGGCTGTGGACAAACAGTGGCATCTGAGATGCCTGAAGTGCTGTGAATGTAAGCTGGCCCTTGAGTCCGAGCTGACCTGCTTTGCCAAGGACGGTAGCATTTACTGCAAGGAGGATTACTACAGGTACTTCCCTAAACCCCAATTCTTACGCCCGAGTACACCTGGCGGGTCCATCTGTCTGAGCCCGGAATCCCCTCTCCGTCCCCCACCTTTTGCCCATTCCGGGTGCGGTTATCATTTCGGAGACCAGGGAAACCCACTGCACATGCCTTCAAGCTGCACTCTCCCTGATCGGCGGTAAGGACGGGTGGGAGGGACATTCGAGGTCTAGCACGTTATCAGCGAATACCACGCTCTCCATCACTTCTCAGCTTGGCAGGCGGAACTTGGGGGAATTTGGGGAAGAGTAAATTGACACGGTCTCCATTCAAGTCTCATGGACCGAGACTTGAATGGGTTTTTGTTTTCCGCTTGCTACGAATTGGGCAAGTTCTCCGCCTTGAAACTGAACTAGCGGCCCGGGAAGCAGTAACAGAGAATTAGCTTTTTGCAGGTGGCAGGATACTTTGTAAATGACTATGACAAGGATTACATGCCATTGCCAAAACCCAAGCCATTCATTTCCGAGTTCCTTTGATCGCGTGTTACAACCATGTCCGCCAGGTTGGAGAGAAAACTCAGCGGCAGGCGTCTTTATTGATTCTTCTCAGTTATGTTTCTGGACTAAGAAAGGCAGAACTATGTGCAGGTGACCTAGCTCCGCTCTCAGCCCAAGCAAGAGAAGTGGTTAAAAAATAATAACCTTAACTCTACAAAATTGTCATTTTCCAGAACTGTGTCCGCGTGCTTTCCCGCACACTCGCACATCCAGGAATAATTATATCTTCCTTCATTCACAGAATATTTTGTAATTGAGTAAGTGTTTTCACTTGGCATGGCAATTTACTATTCTAGTGCTATAAGTTAGCTAGTGCTGGTTTGCTTTTAATTTTTGATTTTTAAATTTTCACTTTATAGAGAAGAAAACTAAGGCTTAGTTGCCCGATTCTTCTGACTTTCATGTAAGGATCCTTTGTCTTGGTTCATCTGAAAAGGTCGATGAGCAAACAAAATTAATGCCCACTGTCCTGCCCTCCTGGAACCCTCCTCCGAGGCCTCAGTGTCAGGCCACTGCAGACAAAGCCCAGGCGTCGCGGGTGGGAGATGGCTCTGCCTTGCTTCAACTAGCGCCCTGACTCAACTGTTTCCTTCCAGAAGGTTCTCTGTGCAGAGATGTGCCCGCTGCCACCTTGGCATTTCCGCCTCGGAGATGGTCATGCGCGCCCGAGACTCTGTGTACCACCTGAGCTGCTTCACCTGCTCCACTTGCAACAAGACTCTGACCACGGGCGACCATTTCGGCATGAAGGACAGCCTCGTGTACTGCCGCGCCCACTTCGAGACCCTCTTACAAGGAGAGTATCCACCGCAGCTGAGCTACACGGAGCTGGCGGCCAAGAGCGGCGGCCTGGCCCTGCCTTACTTCAATGGTACCGGCACCGTGCAGAAGGGGCGGCCCCGGAAGCGGAAGAGCCCAGCTCTGGGAGTGGACATCGTCAATTACAACTCAGGTGTGCCCCCTACCCTCACCCCTAGCTCAGTCCTGGCCTCAGTTTCCCTGAGGAAAACTCGTAGAGTTCCCTCCCCGTCCAAGGTCTTGCTGCAAGAGGGTGTTTTGCCCAAGGCCTCTCTTCTCACTACAACTCCCTCTCACTCTGAAGGAAGGGAGAGAGGGAGAAGGAGGGGGAAGGGAGGGAGAGGCAGCACTTTATTTAGGTGGTGGCAAAAAAACACATTCATAACCATGGGGCTGTAGTGACTTCCCCTCAACAGGCAGAGCCAAGTCCTGGTTGCCCATTAGTTAATGAGCCCATTAGATTCTGGCTCCCAGTTGGAGCAAAACAGCCCCAGGGCAATTCCTTTGTGGAGGCCAAATTATAGATCCTGGAGGAGGTTTCCTAAATACTGAAGGAAAAAAAAGTCTTCAGAGCCCAACCCCAGTCTGTCTAGAGGGGTCAGAGGCTGTGGTCACCAGCCCAAAGTTAATCAGGAACAGAGTTGGCAAGAGTGTTGAAATACGTAATCCCTGATCTTGGCAAAAGGCCGCCGTAGGGGTGGGAATCCCTCTCCACAGCTGAGCTGGTCTGTCTCTTTCCTAAGTCAGGATATTCATCCAGCCGTCTCATTCCCAGTGTGATAGACCATCCAGACATCCAGACCCCTGGCAAACGGAAAGAACCTTCAGGTCAGGCCCCCTGAGGAGGCTTAATGGTATCTCAGGCATTCATCTGTACTCAACCACCTCTCTCTTCACTAAAAACAAGTCAAGAACACATTCTTCCTTGCTTTGGGGGACACACCTATCATGTATCAATCTCTCACATGCGCCAGTTTCCCACTCTTGGTAGCCTGTCCCCACTTCCCATTCTCCAGGTGACGACGGTGATTGGCCCTACAGATGATAATCTAACTCTGAGCAGAAGAGACGCTCTTCTTGAGTCCCAGTCACTGGAAAAGAGGTTTCAGAAAGCCCTAACTTTTTGGGAGCCCTAAGGACTTTCAGTGCCCTGGTCCAGACCTGGCTGAGAATCTCAGCAGACTGACACTCAGGACAGGGGAAAGCATTCTGTTGGAAGGGACCTTGAGGACTATTGCAGCAACCCCACTCTATTACCACAAACGCTCCAGATACCAAACATGGGCACCCCAGAGCACGGGATCCTGCCTGTTTTTCTCTTCAGTTCCCAGGGCCTGGTATGATGCCTGATGTTGCTAGTCAGTGGTAAAGCACAGTGTCCAGCCAGTTAACTGTTTGGCCCAACATCACACAGCCAGTATGAATTTGGAGCTAAGAGTCCTGCTCTGAGTTTGGAGTTTTCAGGGGAACCCATACAGGATGAGTGGCCGCTTCCTCAGACCTCCCTTAGGTTCTCTCCCGGGGTTCCCTACCGCCTGATCTAACTGAAGAGGAGAATTCTTTGTGGGCAAGCACAGCAGGTGGCTTTGCAGGGAGCAATGGGGAACGCTGTGCAGCAGCACTTGTCCCTAGAGGGTTCAAGCCAGGGTCGCTGGACGGAAGGAAAAGGACCTGCCGACTCACTGCAAATCTCACTGGGGTCGGTTAGTCTGTGCAAGAGCAGCAGGCAAAGCCCCGGGTTTTGCCAACCCTTGGTAGTGGCCGTGCCCTCACACTGGCCCCTGCTGTGCTGGGGCAGGAGATTTGGTTAGGGGCCACTTTGCCCAGTAGGCTTACTTCATCTTCTTTGATGCGTGGTCCCCGGGGCAGGGCAGGCAGGGCACTAATTGTTCTTTATTAATAGAAGATGACATTGGAATCTCAAGCCACTCACCAAGGCCCTAATGAGAGAGAGAGAGAGAGAGAAAGAGAGAGAGAGAGAGAGAAAGAGAGAGAGAGAGAGAGGGCCACTCATGTACAACTATGGATGGAGTTTTGTGAAAGAAGGGCTCTCTCAGCCCAGATAAAATCCAGAAGGGTGAGGATTTCTAGCCCAACAGTGGGCAAGCCTGACTTATTGATTGTTTATTTAATCTAATTAGCTAACTTTGATTTCGCTTTGGATCTTACTTCATGTTAGACAGGTCCAAGGAGCTTTAAGAACAGTAGAATTTAGATTCTTTTACTTCTCTGAAAATAACTAGAGAGTACAAATATATTTTTAAGAAGAATACAAGTCTCCTTCTGAGCCACTTAGGTCTTTAGTTTGCAAATTAATGCCGCTACAAGTTGAAGAGAAGTTTGCTTTTGTCTTGCTCCCAAAGGAGGGAAAAATTGCTGAGGCCCCCTTAATCCAACTTTGGACCTCCCACCACTACAAACTGGATGCTTCTTAGTTAACATCTACTCCATCCTTTCTGTACTTTTCCCAGAGATACTAGTAAATAGTATACATATTTTAAAGATCAGGTTAAAATTATCAATGGGAATTGGTTTGAAGATGCCTGACCAGAAATCAGCCCATCATTTAAAACAGTGCTTGTGAATCTAATGCCACTTTGCTACAGAACTCGGGAAATAAACCCTTCAGCAAATTAAACATATGTTAAAATGCAAAAAATAAAGTTAATTGGGTTTTAACTCATTATTTTAGCCTTCTTTGGATTTCATCTGCCATCTCTCATTAAATGTAAACAAGTCTCATAAAGGGTATGGTTGATACTAAACCAAGTATAATTTACACAATAATATGTTTTAAAAATGTGCAGAAAACATGTTTGTGACTCAAAGAATCTCAGAGAAGTTGTGAAACTTGGCAAAGACCAGCTAGTGCTTGACATAGGGCAAATGCCTTTTAATGAGAATATCCCTAGTTTCGTTTATCTCTCTGTGCAAGTTAATCAGGCAGATATTTTAGAAAGAGACGAGGGAAATTTACCTGAAATGCTTGAAATAAAGCCCTCCAGGGATGAGAAGAAGATTTAGTTTAGGATAGGAAGCTCTTATGTGTGTAATTTAAACATTAATTGAGAGATTAAACTTTTGCCACTTCTCAAAATATCCTTTCTTTAGGTCCTCTCTTCCTATCCAAACTTTGAAGGCTCCTGGTGGTTAAATTAGCCTGGCACTGACCCCTAGTGGTCTTCCAGGAATCAGTTAATTCTCAGAAGGTTACATGCCGTCACAGCAGACACTCACTTGAGGGTGGCTGACCACTGCATAAGTGACTGGAGATAAAATACTTAGACCTTCTCATTAACTTTATAATACTAGATGTGAACTTACCGGCAGATATTTAAAACAGTTTCAAGAGTTATCATTTCATCTCATAATTCGGGGAGTGGGGGAATCCCCTATGGCTTTAGAAACAGGCCTTGGAGACACATGGTCATTTGTAAGTTTACATAATGCATGTGTAGTTAAACATAAATGATATCAGATAATGCACTGTTACTCTGTAGAAGAAATACGTTTCTCTATTAAGTTGTGTAACACGAGATAACAGTCACAGGAAAATCACATATAGTAATATCTGTTTAATAAAGACCCAACGAGCTATCTTCTCACACATTGGATTGTGTATTTTATGTGGAAACAGAGGCTATAACTGTATTTAACATACTAAAGTGCTCTGCTGATTTTTAATCAGCAATAAGGGATATAGAATGTGTATTCAGGGAAGCAATTTCATCAAATCTTACTACAACTATGTTTCATAAACTTCATTTTAAGAACCAATGATTATAAAGGCAGTTGGGAATCATATTCATTTTTATATATTACCCTGGTATGGAGTGGGGGCAAAGATGGCTGAGGGGATTATTTAAGCACCAAGTCTTCTGTCCCAAGTGTGAAATTCAATTTGATATGTTGTTCAGGAAAGATTACGTGTTACATATGATAGAAAAGAAATCTTACTTGAAGAACCCTCCAATGACTAATGTGTGCCTCTTTGACTATTTTTTGTGAGTATATTTATAATCTGGTTATGAAATATGGCTCAGTTTACTGCAGAAAAGTATAGTTTTATAGTAGGTCATAGAGATGCTGTTTCATCCATTTGAGGGTATGAAAGTGCAATTCTGTAGAATATTTGAACTTGACATATCCCCACTGGGCCAAAATAGGATAAAATGTAATGCATACTCTTTCTGTTGTCTCTGGATATATGGTACTCTTCCTGGTGGAGTTTAAGAAGCCTGTGTTTCACATTCGAATGTATATATCTGACCAGGATTCCACTTCAAGTTGATTTAATTTTGCATTAATACTCACTTGTAATTTTACTGATGAACAAAGTGCCCAACATCTTGATTGAATGCTTTTTGAGCTCCTGCCCCTGTGTTTGACTCAGGGAATCAATCCAAAGGTGAATATGGTATAGTCATTTCCCTCAGTGAACTCACCTGTTCTTTTGCCAAGTGTGTCCTCCTGCTTATTCGCCTTATAGAAATACAAACAAAGGAGGCATTTGTTTGTGCCTAGTCTTTTTACATTAGGAATTTCTTGTTAAGTGAGTTTTATATGTGGCTGACCTCTTGGTTGATGACTATAAAACTTACGTATTTCTGTAAATATGCTGATTTGCTGAATATTTTTTCAAAAGTAATTCTATCTAGCAGGCAGACAATACTTCATTAAGCCGATTGGAAGAGCTCATATTAAGGGATGCCTCCCATTTTTAAGATTCAGGTTTCTTTCTCCCTGGAATGACGTGATCAGGATGGTTTTACATTTTTTATTATAAAGCAGTACAAGACAGGATGATCAGATCTAAATTTATATCAGATAACTATCTGAAGGAAGGGTTTAGAGAAAAAAAAAACTGCCATGCTCTTTAATTTGTGAAGTTGGCTGAATCAGTAAATATTTCGCAAAAATGTTTTCATTTTGCAATTGTATTTCCTATGCAGAGCCAGTAGATTCTTGGAAATGACCCTTTAAATGTGTAGCTTTACATCCTGGGGATAATGACTTTCTGACTGGTTTCAAAGACTGGGTTGTTTTGCCCTGGGTGCTGAGCAAGTCTTTGTAAGAGGAGAGAAAATGCCGCCCTCTCTCTGCCAGGCCAGCCAGGGGCATAGCTCACAACCTACTCACATACATCTGGAGCGAAAGGGACTAAGATCTGAGCCTAGAAATAAGCACCACCAGTGTCTCTCAACTGTGAGCTGTGGGGAGCGCTTCAGGCATGAACCGTGTGCAGAGAAGTCTGGGCTCATTTTCTTTCAGAAATATTTATTAAAATCACTCCAGGGGAAAAATATTTTCTTTCTGGTATAGCCCTGTGTTAACCAGTCATAGCTAAAAGCTGGAACAAATAATATTCTTATGTTTACATAAGAAATTCACAAATTTTAAAGTTCTAACTTCTCTCCCCATTTCAGCCGTATCTAACTGTTTCCTGACTGAGAGAGCTCTAGCAGTATGAGGAAAGGCTAACCATTAGAACTGACCTAGATGCTTCCTTAGTTGTTGGGCTCTCAGAAACTTTCAGACTTGAAAAAGTAGTAATACGTTTTTCTTTGCTCCTCATGACAAAAAACAATACCTTCAGACAGTGTGTCTCATTCCAGAAGTACAGAAAAAAGAGTCTGAAAGCACTGTGAGTATGGGCAGTGTGGGCAGTGGGGCGCTAACACTGCCCACACTGTACCGCTCATAGCTGTGTTAGAAAAGCGTTTCTTCCTCTCTCGTAGGTCTCTCTCACTCCCACTTTACTACTTAGGGTTCGTTCATATTCTCAAATTCTTCTAGCAACCATTAAGCCAAAGGGAGGATTGCATTAATATTTTTCTATTACATAAACTTTGGTTGTAGCTACATTAACAGATGAGTTTGGCTTGCTTTAGCAATTATCTTCTTTCTTTTTGTTGAGATACTATTCATAATTGGGTTGACAGCCTTTTACACTGCTGCTTTATTACCATAGCAGTGTCATACAGCCTGCCATCATGTCAGCGAGTGCAAGAATTTCCATTGAGCAGTTGTTTTGTTCACTGTTACTGCAACAGGTTGTAATGAGAATGAAGCAGACCACTTGGACCGGGACCAGCAGCCTTATCCACCCTCGCAGAAGACCAAGCGCATGCGAACCTCCTTCAAGCACCACCAGCTCCGGACCATGAAATCCTACTTTGCCATCAACCACAACCCAGATGCCAAGGACCTCAAGCAGCTTGCCCAGAAAACAGGCCTGACCAAAAGAGTTTTGCAGGTAAGACGCATCCATCATTGACTGTGCATACATTTCCCTTCCCCTTGCCAGTGAAAATAGTGCTCTTCCCTATATTGCTTCTTACCAGTTGATCTTACCTTTCTCCCTAGAGGGTGTACTGAGATTTTGCAAGGGCTTCTTGGAGGGTGCCCAGCGACCCAGGGTCTTTTTAAATACAGCCACATTCTGCATATGTGGACGTGGACCCTCCAAAGGCAGCACAGCTTGTCTCACTGCTGTGCAAATGCAAGTGATGTTATCTGCACAGGCTGTGGCTCTATGGATTTCCATTAATATTATGCTCAGTGCACAGATTTGAGAGGGACCTGTTGGTGCTGTCTTAACTCAGCAAACTTTTGGCAGCCTCACTCACCTTCCAACTTCAGGTGGATCCTTTTTTCTACTCCTGAAAGCCAAAAATATGGTTAGTGTTTCAGCAACCAATTGGAGCAAGCGTTTTCCTGCCTTAACAAACCATAATTAAAAACAAAATACTGGGCGTTAGTTCTGCTGTCCAATTGATTTTCTAAACTTATCATGGTAAGAACATATAACTAATGAAATTGTAGTAGGTTGCTGTGCCTGTGATCTTCTCTCACTTCTTGGTGACAAATAGCAGGCATGTTAAATTCTGCTAAACAAGTTTCAGGCTGTTTGAGGTCTGTGGCCCTTCCTATGTGAAGAATATTCACCATGTGTTAGGCTCACGAATGGATTGAAGTCTGTTTCAGGGATGTTCATTTCATATGAGTGATTCTTACTTTGCCATAGTTTCAATGGCCCCGCTTCCTCTCCTTCTCAAAAGATAACAGTTGAGGAATCACGCTGTATTTCCCTGGCTTTATCACCATGTGTTCATTTCCATGGTATACCCACGTAAGCATCAGTTGTTCCAAGTGGCACTTGTTAATGCGAGAGGGTGGAATAAGTGCAGTTGAGAGAGAATAAATCCGTAGGGTTACTTGAATAACTCTGTTTTAAAAGAAAGGAAAAAAAGCCCCTTTCCTCCCCCAAAAAATCACAATTATATTTAAAAGGAGAGACATATATCACAAACAAAAAACAAAAAAAAAAAAAAAAAAAAAAAAGAAAGAAAAAAGAAAAAGTGAGAAAGAAAAGAAATACAAAAATGAACATCGGTAAAGAAATCAATTGGGATTGGTTTGCAGGTTTGGTTCCAAAACGCACGAGCCAAATTCAGAAGGAACCTTTTGCGGCAGGAGAATGGGGGTGTTGATAAAGCTGATGGCTCGTCGCTTCCGGCCCCGCCCTCAGCAGACAGCGGAGCTCTCAGTCCACCCGGCACTGCGACCACTTTAACAGACCTGACCAATCCCACTATCACTGTAGTGACAGCCGTGACCTCTAACATGGACAGCCACGAATCCGGAAGCCCCTCACAAACTACCTTAACGAACCTTTTCTAACATTGGTTTTTTTTTTTTTTATTCTTCCTCCTCTTTTTATTATTATTATTATTTTATTATTTACAAGACTTTTTTTTTTCTTCTAACCCACAAGATATTTGGGGAATAAAAATAACAGCTTGGTGTGTAGCATCTGCAGCCACTTGGCAAATGAGTTTACAGTATTGTCTCCTTTAAGTGAATATATTTTGTCTATAAAGTGTATTTGGATTTTTTTTTAATTAATTAGGTCTTTCAGTTGGTAAGGAGAGTTTTTGAATAATTCTAATAAGTGCCTCTTAAAATTATATGTTACTTATTTCCAGCATCTCGAGGAAAAAAAAAAAAGAGTGGTATTATTATGGGCAAATAATCATATTCCCAGTTAAATGATTAGGTTAATAAAGAACCAGATTATTAAATAGTTAATTTTTAAGTCTTGCAATTGTACATGTGATTATGGAATTTTGAAAACATTATATTTTTAAAATTTTAAAACTGAAAACTTGTTTTGAGTATTTTTATTTCTTACCAAAACTGTTAATTTAAGTGAGGAATACAGACATTTTAAATAGTAATGATTAATTAGGTGAGAGATCTATTATAGGAATGTGACTTTTCCTTCTCTTAGGGATATGGAACTCAAAAAACTTTTTACTTGGTGGTTTTTCAGCATTTGAAAAATACTTAAGCTCCCTGTGTATCCATGAAAACTCCACATGTATTTTGACATTTCATACTTTTAACCTCCTAAAGTGAAAAACAATAGCTTGGAAACCATTCTTTCTAAGTTACTTTTTTTCCCAGGGAAAATGGAAATAAGCAAAATATAATTTTTTAAGAAGTAAAAAAATCAGTATAATTTAATTAATAGCTCTAATAATTGGGTTCACCTGTACCATGATATTGTATCTGGCATTCTATATGAATAATGTTAAAAAAAAAACCCAGCCTAGTAGACTAATACCAACAATTTTTTGTTTTGTTTTGTTTTGTTTTATTTTGGCATAGGTTGACTTATGTATTGAAAATAACTTTTCTGACACTAGAGATTTGAAGTTATTAGTCTTAAAGTAGATAAACTCAGAAGCCTTGTGGATGCTGATCTGAATATATTTCCTAGTTTACAGTAGCATTTTTTTTCTTTTAATTTAAGCTAAAATCTGAATGGTCTGGGCAGTGGTGAACGTTCATCTATTGCGCTTCTGTTGTAGTTAAATACCAATTAGATTGTGGATTTCCTAAAAAAAAAAAAAAAACAAAAAAAGAAGTCAAGATATATGTCTTGCTTTGGTGGATTGTTAAGAATAACTTTGCACATATTCTCCACTTTTTGGACCCCTTACATCTCCTTTGGTGGTCCAAGTGGCTATTTAATAGATTTTAAAGGTGTCCTTCTGGCTGTATAAATGTGTGGTTACATATTGACAGTTCACTGCCCACATTAAAGTGCATTATTGTAACTTTTGCTCAGGGTCTTTAGAAAATTAGCACAGAAAGTAGCTTATTTTTTAAAAAAAGATGATGGAAGATAAGTTAACACTGTAACAGAAGAAAGGTGTGATTGCCATTATATATTTAGCAAGTATGGTTATCATCTTATATGGAGCTTAAATCTTGACTTTTCATATTTCTATTACATTTTGGGCATTTACCACTAACCAGACCAAACAACCTTGGTAAGGCTGAGATCTTATTAATACACTTTTACAGGTAAAATATTGACACTTATAAATTTTGTTCTTTGACAGAACAATATATGGTACTATAGATCTACTTTATTAAGTAGACTAATTATAACTCAGTTCTCCTATGTGCCTTATGATATAACTTGGAAGTAAGTTTGTGAAAAATCAGGATATATGTGTTGTTTGTTAAATTAACTGTTTTAAGCCCTTTTGACACCTCACTAGTTTTGTACTGTTTTACCTCTTATTTCTGAAACTCTTTTTATGGTGTATCCTGTTAGAGGGGACAAACATGTCATAGAAAGCAGTTGTGCACTCTTTCAAATATAGTTGATAAATTCAATAATCTTATATATTGAGCTTCGTGTTTATAGTACAGTAAGTGGTCTAGCAAAATTGTCCATGTTTCTTTGTTTATTGATAAATGCATTGTATAGAAACTATTTCCCCTAAATATTTATGGACCAAACAGTTGTGATATATCCTATTAAATTTGTGTGAATAAACCATTTTGAATCTAAGGAGTTTTATTTCCCATCAGTTTTATTTAAGTTTTAATTGTACTAGTGTGTTCCAGTATCTATATGTAAAAGCTATTCAAATGGTAATACAAAACTTTTAGAAATTAAACATACAAATAGTTTTTAGATTTCCGAACTTCTGATTCATATTAAATGTTACACATTGTTGCACATGCAATGTAATTCAATCTAGAAATACTTTAAATATATTTGCTTATAATAAAAGTGATGCCCCACTGATTTGACTCAGTCCAATTTTTAGAATAAAAAGGCTAATTAGCAGATAAAGTAATTGCATGGAAATAAACAAATATGATTAAGATTTTATTTTAGGTCTATTGAGCACAAGTGGATATTTGTAAATCTAAATAGAAATTGCAGACCCCTAAAAGCCAAGTTGCTCTGTAGTTAATAAATTGTCACTATGATTTTTTTCAGGGAGAACAAATCTTGGGGCATTACAGCCAAACATCCCGACGTTTGAAAATTCCCTAAAGTATTAAAAGAAGGGGAAAAGTTTGATCGGAAATCCACTGCAGTGAAGACAAAGACACTATTAGGTTATGATAATCATACATTAAAAAATTTATTGAGCCAAAAAAAAAAAAAAAGAGAGAGAGAGAGAGAGAGAGAGACTTAAATGTCATTTACGGAATGTTAACAAAACTTGTGTTCTTTATGGTGTCTAACACAACTGAAGGCTTAAAATTATATGGTTTAAACAAAATTAGATAAACCATGTACAAAACCAGAGCAACCTGGCAGTAATATGCCCACCCCATATTTGAAAAAAATTATTATTGAAAAAAATTTCACACATTTGTCAAGCACAAATAGTTGTAAAATAAAGTCCAAAACATTCATTTCACCTGCTTGCTAATGTGTATTAGTCCTGTTAATGACATTTTCCAATTGTAAATTCAAAGAAAAGCTATCACTCATTTAAGAGTATTAGGGATCCAAACCCAGTAATTTTAGTATTATTGTTTATTACTTCCTTTTTAAACAGAAATCTCTGCATGCACTTTTACATCTGTCACCTCTAGTGTACACCTCTGTATGATGACTTATCTTTGCTGTTTCTTGTATGATAAATAGCTTTCATTAATAAACATTTATTTGATGCAAACATAGTTAACTTTATGTTAAACACACACTGTTGAAATTAATTTTGAACACTCTTAAAGAGTCAGCACAGTACATTTACAACTTGTTATACTAATGAAAAATACAAACAGCATAATGAGATAAAATTCTGGTAATCTAGGTTAAAATTACTTACTTGGTTTTTACCTTTTCATGACTTATTTTCATTTGTTGTATTCAATTGCCACATATATTAAAAGTAAAAATCAAAGTGAACCCAAATTACAACAAAATAAACCTTAGACTAGACTATTGTATAAAATTTCAGCAATGTTTTTAGATTACTAGGGTAAAATTTATAGATCTTATGTGAGTTTACATGTTTGCTATGCAATGAACAAATTTATTGAAGTATACAAATATATTCTGAACTATAAAAAGATTAAATCTTTGCATAGTTCAAGTTACATATGATTATTACAAACACAGGAGCAAATGGAAAGACACAAATATTTAGGAATGAAGTTTTTTTAATTGTTAAAGGGAATATTTGAAGAATAAATTTTTAGCTATTCCTATTTAGCTGTATATCCAAAGCATATGTTAAACAAACTAACATATAAATACTTTCCAGAAAATTTTTCATTATGATGAAATTTTTATTATATACAAATGAACCCTATGTAAATGATGTAACTTTTATGAATGACAGACATTAAATATTTCACTTACGTGTATTCTTAGAATTTTGAATGTTTTCTTAAATGCTTTCACTTCCTGAATACTAAAAAGAAAAAATTTTAAAGGAGAGAGAGCAACTTACTAATAAAAAAAGAAAAGCAATGCACCATAAGTAGACTATTTTGAGTGATCATGAAACATGTTGGTTTTGTCAGTAACTTGAATGTTTATGCCTCATTGAAACCTCATCCGTGGCTATAGCAACTTAAATAGATTTTCCAATGCATTTCCAGCCAGTTTATTCAAATCTTTGCCCTACAGCCTTGCCTTCTTTCCCTGTTCTGTCACCTATGGCAATTTCATTTAGAAGTATTTTGGAACTTCGCCTGGTTTTACAGACCTTTAAATATTTGTCTGGTATGTGAGATGCAGGAAGAGACCAGAGAGGAAACGAACATAACTGAAATTAGACATCTGAAAAAAATAATACAAATTTGAAACAGGCACATTTTTTAAAACTAAAAAAAAAAAAATAGGAGTACTAATTATGTGAGTGGGAAGAGAAAGTGTGTGCTGCAGAGTTGGAAGGTCTATTGCACTTCACTGTGATGTAAAGCAGTCTCTGAGTCTCGGCAACTGCACACTTACTGTTTAGTGTGGAATAGAAAAATGTGGACCTCTTAGTTGAGAGCAGGGCACTAAATTTTCATAGCTTCTACCTCCCAATTGCCTGGGTTAGTCTAACTTCTGGCAGATTGCTCTTGGGCAAAAAGCTTCACTGAGAGTTAGTGTCTGCGTGCTTTGGTTGAACAGCCCCCTTAATACTGACCTACGTAGTGGATAGGTTTTTGATACCTCAAATAAGGGTAAAACTCCATAATCAAGGACCCAAAGCAAACACTTTTACAACTTAGGTGATTTTTCATCACCTAAAACATAAATAGCTTTATTTAGAAAAATCCAAGTGGAATCAACCATACATTCCTTTATAATAACCCCTTTTTGGGGAGTCAAAGTATTGTTTTTTTATTAGCCACATATAAATATCATCTCATTTTCTCTTGCAGTGTGACTGCAAGGGGTGCTGTGTGGAATGCATTAGAACTGGGAAGCTCTGGAATGGAAATTTGGAATCATGTCATTCTAGGCTCTTAAAGAGTATGTTAGAGATAATACTGTTGTAAAAAATAAATATAAACACCTAATTTTATATGAATTTTTGCTATTTAAATTTTAGCTATGTTATAAACAAAGCTAGCTTTACTTGTAGAGAGTTTGTGTACTCTTGAGGTCATTCAATAGCTTTTACATTTTGTAGTCTGTTACACAACAGGGCAAAATAAGCACAGTAGGGCTTAGTCTAAATTGAAGAAATGTTGAATTTTCTTTGAAACCATATATTAGATAAATCTGGATTGGCCTTTTAGATCTAGTTTCTGTTTTTAGTAATTGGGAACCAACTGTCAATATTAAAATAAATAAAAACGCCTCTAATGTAAAGCTGCAGTCCTTTGCTTCCAGCCAATGTCAAAACTAGGAAGGTTTTTTTTTTAATGGTTTGCTGTTGATTTTAAACATTTTAATAATACTTGCTCTGCCCTCACGGCAGTTTTTTTTTTCAGAATAATAATATGATTTACCTTATTTTAAAAACAAATTATAATTCTAACTTAAAATATTATTTTAAATGCCCTCTGGGAAGATTTCCATTTTATTTTATGAGATTCCCTGGCAGTGGGGTGGAGGTGGGGGGATGAGGTTGGGGCAGGGAAAGCTGAGAACTGTGCATGATACTCAAGGAAAGGTCTATGAATATGATGTAAGTAGTAACATTATTGACACAACTAAATTTCCGTTTGACTGTGTTGCGGAATAAGATAATTTTATCTAACATCACTCCCTACTTGCAACATTTCTCTGTGAATATTAATATAGTTAACCCTCCCTTATCATGTCTCACATTAATAAGTTTCTTTTCCCTTGGATTAATTTTTGCTTCTTTGCATTACATTTTATCTTGTGCTAAGATGACAAAAATCAAGCAAGAATAAAGATCCAGATATTAGCCATATGTAGAAAGTTCCTGGTGTGCATTTCTGTGTACTTTTCCCTCACATATTAGAATTGTCAGGAACGCCTTTTTCTTTTGGAACTCTCTGTTTATGTTTTGCATGATCTTATAAATTAATCTGAAGAGTAATTGGATACCTTTTATGGTTATTTGAAAATAAAATTTGCTACAAATAAGATGCTTCAGTCTCTGTTGCCTCATATTATGCCTGAATATATTAATTTTTTTCTGTACCTTCATATCAAATCAGAAAATATTAACCTTAGAGGATATTTAAATTGTTATTTATGACAAATACACAAAGATGAAGAAATTCAAAGGTGAAATTGCCTTTATTATTTATTCTCATTCTGCTTCTTTTCCTTTTCCAAAGCAGCAAAAATTATGAAGGGCTATCAACTTTAACTTCAATATTCAAGAGTTTTGACAGCTTGCATCACTTAAAGTATGTTTATTATTCAGTAAACTTTAATTCTGTAGAATAAATGCCCTTTATGAAGTGTGATTTTTGAAAGCACAAAGGGATTTCAGGATTTCAAGCAGCAAAAGCTGCTTGAATTCTGCAAACAGAGTATTTTTCCAGAAAAAAAATATAGTGGAAAATAATTTTAAATATAATATTTGTTGCATTTTACCTCATTGGCCCAAGTACTGCACAGGAATTTTAAAGTTATAAAAACCTTCAAGATGTTAGGATGTAATTAAGTGATGATTATTTTTGTAATGTAAGTTGAGACAGTTCATTTTATAAATACAATTACCTAGTTACTTTATTGAATGCAGATTCTGAGGGCTCCTGGATTCTTTCTTTTCCTTCCTTCCTTCCTTTCTTCCTTCCTTCCTTCCTCCCTCCCTCCCTCCTGCCTTCCTGCCTTCCTGCCTTTCTTCCCTTCTTTCCTTCCCTCCCTCCCTACCTCCTTTCTTTCTTTCTCTCCCTCCCTCTCTCTCGCTTTCTCTCTCTCTTTCTTTCTTTCTTCTTTCCTTAGGCTGGAGTGCAGGAGCAGGATCCCGGCTCACTGCAAAATCCACCTGGTTCAAGTGATTCTCCTGCCTCAGTCTCCCAAGTAGCTGGGACTACAGGCACGTGCCACCATGCCCAGATAATTTTTGTATTTTTGGTAGAGACAGGGTTTCACCATGTTGGCCAGGATGATCTCCGCCTCTTGACCTCGTGGTCCGCCGGCCTCGGCCTTCCAAAGTGCTGGGATTACAGGAGTGAGTCACCGTGTTCAGCCTCCTTCTGGATATTTTAGTGATAAGATGTTCATATTTCCAAGGGTTCTTATATATTTCCTTAGTTTTCTTCTTAAGTTCTACATCATAAGTCTGTGTACGTATGTGTGTTGTATATTTTCATCCTAACACCCATGAAAAATACCTATTTTTAAGAAAGAAGCCCACCTCTTCTAAAGCCAGTTTTTAATTGAAAGCAAAAGAAAAAGGCAAAATAATGGCAATTTTTCTTCAGTTGAGGTATTGTAATAGGCCTACTTTTTGTTAGCTTAACATAAAGCTATGCTCCCCAAATACATAGATTTGTATAGCCTCCCTGCTAATACATAGGGGATCTTTCGAGGTTACTTTCTTCATTGAGTTTAACTTTAACTGACCATAACTTTGCGTTTCACTGGAATTGTGTTGCCATTTTGAACTTTTTTGTTCAACGACGTATGGCAAATGCTTACAGTTCAATATAAACAACCACAACAGAAAACGATAATTTTTGTTGGAATGAACAGTATAATTTACTTCATTTATTGAAAGAGAGACAGAAGAAACAAAAGGTTGTAGGCCAGGCACAGTGGCTTACACCTGTAACCCAGCACTTTGGGAGGTTGAGAGAGGAGGCCCACTGAAGGGCATGAATTCAAGACCAACCTGGCAAACATGGTGAGGTACCATTTCTTAAAAAAAAAAAAAAGAAAGGAAACAAACGTTTCTTTCAAAAATCAAAGGGAATATTTGGTTTAATTTCAACATTATTGGTCTATTAAAGTGGCTGAACTTTAATGAGTTCCTTAGTAAATATTTACTATACATTTATCAATCAAACCATATTTTTTGTTTTGTTTTGTGTTTTGGAGATGAGGTTTGCTCTAGTTGCCCAGGCTGGAGTGCGATGGTGCAGTCTTGGTTCACCACAACCTTCGCCTCCTGGGTTCAAGTGATTCTCCTGCCTCAGCCTCATGAATAGCTGGGATTACAGGCATATGCCTCCATTCCTGGCTAACTTTGTATTTTTAGTAGAAACGGAATTTCTCCATCTTGGCCAGGCTGCTCTTGAACCCCCGACCTCAGGTGATCTGCCCACCTTGGCCTCCCAAGGTGGCCATGTCCCGCCCAGTTCATATTTACATCCACATAAATATCCACTCTGGCATGCTCAGTTTGTGTTCTATGTAATAAATGCAGCTAGATCCTGAGACATCACCACATATGTAACTTCAATATCTGAACAGCTAACTATTAAGTGTTGGATTATGAAGCCTTTGGTATCAACACTGATGTGTTCTGCTTTTCTAGAGTATCTTGCATTGGAATGTATGATTAATAAAAATTCTCACCGTGGACTTTTTTCTGTTTCCACTCAGACACTGATAAAAGCATAAAATCATTCTGTGTACCAGAAAGAGCCTTACTACATTGTCTGGTTCAAATTCTTATATTTTTTCAGTTGAAATGGAAAGGACCTTCAGAGACAATTTTTGGCCTTCTTCAGAAAAATATGTATATTAAGAGTTTCCATTTAATCTCTGTACATTTACACCTTATTTGTTTATTTATTATTATTATTATTATTTTTCTTTTAAAGACAGGGTTTCACCATGTTGGCCAGGCTGGTCTTGAGATTATAGGCGTGAGCCACCACACCCGGCCAGATTTACACCTTTTTTAACCGTTGCTGAAACAATGCAATTGCAATAATATGACACTATCAGTACCTCTTATTTATTGCTCCTGAATTGTTACCAGAAGTTGCATTTCATTTAGATAGATTACAATTATTCTAAAACACTGACAGATATGACTTAATTGAATTTTTTATAAATGTTCACAGCTTCCACCACCCATCAGTGGCTTATCACCATTCCTCCTAAGTTCTTGTTCATATTACTTCTATTCCCATTACTCTATTGAAACCACTTTTCTTAAAGTTAGCAATTACCTTCTTCTTGCCCAAATCTTGATATTTCCCCTGTCTTTGTTCACGTTTACATTTGTGCTAGATTTTACGCTCCTTACTACTTGCTTCTTTCTAAAAGCGTTTCCCTGCAGGCCATGCACCTGCTGCTTCTCCCTGGGGTTCAGTTGACTCACAGCCAGCACATCGCGATCCATCTTCAAAATCTCCTCTCCACTCTTGCACTGCCTGCTTCCTGGAAAACAGCAAAGCCTCAACTTTTTAGTGATGACTTCAAATATATTTCTTGGGACATTTCCACCTGAGTCTTCTGTTATTGTTTGAAGGGCAGCATAAATAAAATTGAACTCTTTTTTCTCTTCAGCAAGCTTCTGGAATTTTTTTTTTTTTTTACCATTGTTGTTAAAGACATTACTGAAGTTTCTCCCAGTCACCCAGACTTGGAGTCATCAATTTTTCCATCAACTTCTTCTCCTTTTTTTTTTTCTTTTTAAAAATTATCTTGTATCATTCTGTTACCATATCCTATTGATCCCTTTCTTCATTCTATGTCATTAATCTCAGTTTTCATTCCATGTCTTTAACATCTTTTATTTTATTTTTGACATCCCCTGATCATTGTACTCACTAGACCAAGTTTTCTGAATTGGTGGGAAGATACTCTCTGTAGGACGCCATGCAAGTTGTTTCAGGTTTTGTGCTAATTCTCCCATCTCCACTCTCTGCAACCCTATAAGAGTAGAACCAATGATCAAACTTTTTTTTAAAGATTATATCTAAACTATATGAAATAACTTTCTTACTAATGTAGAATCATATGCTCTAGAAGATTGTGATCATTCTCTGTGGGTATTTAAGAAGAGCCTGGACCAGGTGTGGTGGCTCATGTCTGTAATCCCGGCACTTTGGGAGGCTGCAGTGGGTGGATCACATGATGTCAGGAGTTCCAAGAACAGCCAGGCCAACACGGCAAAACCTTGCCTCTACTAAAAATACAAAAATTAGCCAGACATAATGGCATGCACCTGTAATCCCAGCTACTTGGGAGGCTAAGGCAGGAGAATGGCTTGACCCCAGGAGGTCTAGGTTGCAGTGAACCAAGATCGCAGCACTGCACTTCAGTCTGGATGACAGAGTGAGACTCTGTCTCCAAAAATAAATAAATGAATTTTTTTAAAGAACCTGATTTAACTTATTTGCAGTAGCCGAAGAAGAGCTTTCTCCGCCCATGTGTAATTAGAATATGCAATCATGCATTGTGTAACAGTGGGGACAGATTCTGGGAAATGCATTGCTAGGTGATTTCATCATTGTGTGAACCTCACAGAGTGTACCTGAACAGTCTAGCTAGAATAGTCTACTACATACCTAGGCTATATGGTCTAGTCCATTGCTCCCAGGATACAAACCTGCATAGCATGTTACTGTACTGAATACTTAAGCATTTGTAACACAATGCCTAAACATATCTAAATACAGAAAAGGTAAGGTAAAAATGCTGCAATCTTCTTTTTAAACTTTTATTTTATGATTAGGCATGCAAGTACAGGTTTATTACGTAGATAAACTTGTGTCATGGGGTTTGTGGTACAGAATATGTCATCACTCAGATGTTAAACCTAGTATCCATTAGTTATTTTTCCTGATCCTCTCCCTCTTCCCATCCTCAGTCCTCCAAAAGGCCCCAGTGTGTGTTGTTCTCCTCTGTGTGTCCATGTGTTCTCATCATTTGGCTGCCACTTAAGTGTGAGAACATGCAGTATTTGGTTTTCTGTTCCTGCGTTAGTTTGCTAAGGATAATGGCCTCCAGATCCAACCATGTTCCTGCAGAAGACATGATCTTATTGTTTTATGGTTCCATAGTATTCTGTGGTGTATGTATCTATCTTGTCTATCACGGATGGGCATTTAGGTTGATTCCATGTATTTGCTATTGTGGCTAGTAAAACTATTTTTTTACTCTCTCTGTGTATAGGTAATAAAACTGTTAGTTTTAAGGAACCACTTAAGATAGTTCATATATGCAGTCCATCA